TGCGTGCACACCTAGAATGAATAGCGTGAATGAGCATCTTTCTAAATGATCTGCAGCCGTTTCTATCATTCTGCGATCTTTGATTGCCTGCCACTATAAGCGCTTTCAAATCAACTTGAACCGCCTAGTACAGTCATCATCATAAGCAGGCAGAAGGAGAATTTAGCTCTTGTTAAGAGGTTTGAAACACTTGGTGAGTTGATGCCGATTCTGAGCCAGTTGGTCATAATTAATGATTCGATAGTGCGGAATGGAGGTGTTTGGTGCGATGGAACGTTTAATAAAAGGTGGAATCACTTTCAGGCCTCTGAAGAAGGTGATGTGCCGAAACGTTGCTCAAAGTAAAGCGTTTCACTAACACCAACGCAAAAAAAAACAAGATAAGTGGACTGTTTAATTTGCACACATCTCGATACTACCTTTGACGCCACCTTTTTAAGGTCGGATTCAAGCCAGCAGGAGGTATAAAAACTCCTCAAGAAGCACTCGCTTATGTTGCCCTTGTAAAAGACGTAAGTCGACAACTCGTTTCTTTTTGAAAATTGTTTTAATTACTGGCTTTTCAGATTCTGGGTGATTCTTGGCTCACACCGAAGCTGTTCAGAATTGGCGCTAGTAGCCTGCTCGACAACTGTTTGAAGGCTCTTTGATTTGTAATATAGCACAATTCCATAGCTTGAGATTTAACATCTTATGTGATATGCTTAATTCCGATCACTGCACCACTTGACGTTCACTTCAACAGTTCACTTACACACCAACAAGTGCTATGGCCATTATCTGTTATTTCATTCCATGACAATGTATCAAGTAATGTATGATAATATCTTACTATTCTAGATACAAATATTTCTAACCTTAAAATGCTGTTGAAGCTAGTCAGTTCCTGTTATGTAGTTATTAGAGGATATATAAAGATTTTGTTACAAACGTCATTTAGAGGTGTGACTGGAATTCCGGCTATATTTGCTCCAAAAATTAATTTTATACAAGAATGGGGTGTATGCAACTGATTTTTCAATTCATTTTTTACTTTCTAATCTTTCATGAGCGAAATATCTTGAGGGAAATACCCTTAATCAAAAATAGAAAAGAGACTGACAGATTCTAGGGAAGTAAATATCAGCGGATTTACAGCAAACTAGATGTCCTAGCGGATGACGGCAGCGTTTAACAGGACCCCAAACTAAATTTGCTGTCTTACCTGTTTTAATTTATGCTTAAGTACTCCTGTGAAATAAAGTTTGTTTCGATTGATTTAATTCATATCGATGTGGAGAATGAGGAAAATTTAATCGATTAAGTGAAGATATTCGCTTTGCTCCTGTAGTTAGACTGATTCTTGAGAAGTGTGATATGCAGCAAGCAATTCCTATCTCAGCTTGAACGTGCTGCCTATCAAAGCTCTTCTGTTATTCATATAATTGTGTCATTTGGTCTCTAGATGTCTTCCGTGGAGTCTGTGGACTTCATTGACATGTGACAAATGGTTATACTTTATAGTAAATGCGCGTAACGTTTCTTCATCCTGACTTGGGTATTGGAGGAGCTGAGCGCTTGGTGGTAGACGCAGCTATCGCCCTTCAGCGGAAAGGTCACATAGTTAAGGTTGTGACGAACCACTACGATTCATCCCATGCTTTCAAGGAGACGCAGCAGTTGGGTATGCGAGATTGGGAGATCTTCTTATTTTGAATTCACCATGTAAATGAGAGACGTACATGCGTTATGATTCCAGATATCACTGTGATACAATGGTTTCCCCGACTTATTTTCGGATGCATGTGGGCCCTATGCGCATACATCAGAATGTGCCTTGCGGCAATTTATGTTGCTATGTTTATACCAAGCGATGTTATAATATGCGATCAGGCTTGTAATAGAACTGTTTTTCGAAAATTGGAATTCATAATGATCGCAATGTCTTACAGATCGTTAAAAGTTGTAGAGATTACAGGTATCCGCAGCGCTTCTTGTTCTGCGTGTAGTATGCCACGCTCGCCTTGTTTTCTACTGCCATTTCCCAGACATG